TATCACACTCAGTCTTCATTTGGGTTTCAGTAGCCAATCTCCTTTCTTAGCTTTCTCAAGTTATCTTTGAATCAGTGTGGAAGCTAGCCCCAATCCAATCATGCAAGCCCTGGCCCACCCTCTATAAAAACATCTGTCTCCCAGAAATCCTCGTTATTTAAGTAATCAATCTTTATACCCAGTTCATTGATTTTAACATACAAATCTTTTTTGGAGGGGAGGGGGCGATCCTATCATTATAGGCTGTCTGTTGTTCAAAACAAATGAGATTGAAGATGCTGGTCCCTTTATCCTGTGGAGACCTCGATAGCTAGGCCAGGAATGGATGGAGTCATCCTCTTTTCCTTATTCTTCTGTCTCCCCTCATCTATATGGTTCTATCATCCATTTGGTTCTATTTGAAGGCACTGTCTTCATGGCTATTTTCTACAAATGGTTCTCTGCCACTAATGAGTCAAGGCATGTTTAACATTTTTAATTTTTTGCAATTTAAAAGTGCAGAACTGTTGGCTTTTTTCACCTTGCGATGTTTGCTCCTGAGCAGCGCTTGCATCCTTTTGGGTGTGGGGAATCTTTTCTTGTCCCACGTGAAGTACCTCTTGCCCCTGGTGTGCTCTATGTCCAGCCACATGACATCGTAAGGAATGTCATGTTCATCAAATCCTGCATCCACTGCTTTTACATCCTGCTCATCCTCATAGTTCCAGCGGCTCTGATGATACCCCAAGGAGAAGAGAGGGGGCATGGCTTGTGTGCCTAAAAGGAAGGGTGACATGTTCTGAAAGCCTGCCAACATTGAGCCTGGCACTCAGGAGCCTGAGAGGAGCAGTCCTTGTCCTCAAAGAAGGGACAGCTGGACAGCATGATGCATTAGCGTTGTCAGAAAGAACATGAAAAGCCCCTATTAGGGAATGGAGGCCAGGGTGATTGTGAATAAAGAAGATAGAAGATCATTAGAAAATGCTTTCAAATTCTGAAGAGAAGTAATTTTCAATCTGTTTAGTCAAATTCTCAATCAGGGGTAAAGGTAGGAAGGAGATGGCATACCTGCAAGGATTCAAAAAGTGTACCTCCCATGCACACTTTCTTTAGGAACTAACACAGATGCCCCGAAACAAAATCCAAAACAAGCAAGGAAATAAGCTGCACAGGAGAGCTCCACCAGTACCCAGGAGAGGAGGAAGCCCACAATGGCAGAGAGCAAAAAGATACGTCACAGGATGGCATCATGTAGACTTGGGCGGACAGATGTGCAGGGAGCCTAGACAGGAACAGTTTAGATGGGAGAGGGACAAGGGGTCCTAGAAGGGACATCTCCAAGTGGGACAGAAGAATGGACTAAGTTTCTGATGCCTTTGAGCAGTTGGGAAATACAAGGAATGAAAACAGATTTAACCAAATATTGTGGTGTAACAATATACAGAGGGAGGGGAAGAAGGGATATAAACAAGTTAAATCTTCATCAGGAGATAATATAAGATCTCTAAACTCTAATCTCTGACTGATACAAGTTCACGAGAGAAAGAAATATTGGAGGAGCCCTGATGTTTAATGGGTTACATATTGGGCAAATAGCCACAAGGTCAGCAGTTCAAAACCACCATGTGCTCCATAGAAGAAATAAGAGGCTTTCTACTCCCGTATAGAGCTACAGCCTCAGAAACCCACAGGGGTAGTTCTACTCTGTTCTGGAGGGTTGCTATGAGTCAGACTTGAGTCAATGGCAATGAGTATACATAAACTTATTTTGGGTTTCATTGAACACAGTGAGAGCTCTGGTGTTTCTGAAACACTTTCCCATATACCAGATTCATTCTCTCCCAATAGAAATGTTGAAAGAGCCTGCAGCTGTCACTATCATTGGTAATATTTACTCTTGTGTGGGTGTCTTCCCTTATCCACAAGCTCTTTGTCATTCTGTTTCCCTAAAGATTTACACCCTCAGAAACCCTAGTGGGCAGTTCTACTCTGTCCTGGAGGAATGCTATGTGGTGGAATCAACTAAATGGCAGTGGATGGTGTGGCGAGATGAAGGATATGATGACAAACAACAGTTTCACATTTTGAAAATTAAAAACAATAAAAGTTTCTATGATTATGTAGCAATTTCTAAAAACGTAACCCATATAATGAAACTAGAAACTGGAACTACTAGATGTGGGAGTACCTGTAAGGAGTGAGTATTGCTTGAAGACATCAGAAGGTGTAGGGCCTGTTAGCAGAAAGACATCAATGATTCCACTCTCTGACATCCAACGCACATCAGCTCGAGATTTGACCTTTTGTTTAGAAGCAACTGAGCCCATCTGTGTGCTCTGGGAAAGGAATAGAATGAAAATCTGAAACATTTCCCTCTCACCTAGACTCCCATCCACGTGAGGGTAATGGTGTGTGCTTTAGCAGACACCATCCTGCATCCACTGGACACTGCAGAGTCTTTGGTGGCAGTGCACAAAGCGAAGAGCTATGACAACACTGAGTGGCGGTTTCCTGTGGGATGGGGCACACATCCCTGATCCACAGCTTACCTCTCCTGGAGGCTCTGTGCTGATCTCCACAAGTGTTTCTGAGGCATTCAGCCAGAAAATGCCTACAGTTCTGCCCACCTTGTGGGCTAGGAGATAAGGCACTGAACCATAAATACCCATTTTGTCATGCAGCTTATATCCATAGACATCTAGGTTGTAAAGACGGTAAGCATCTCCATCACTGAAAAATAAAATAGGGATTATCAGTAATTACCAGCACAGATTTTAATAGAATGCTTCCACTCTCTGGTGAATACTTTGGTCCTAGGCCTCTTGCAAGGCTCAACTCTCACCAATTTTGTAAAGGTTTCCTGACTCCACCTTGGCGAAGGTGACCTTCCTCTGACCCATATGGTACTCCTTCATATGACAGTGCACACCTTAGTTTTTAGCACATCTATGAGGGGAGGACTGTTGTGGATGTCCATCACACTAACAGGCCCACATGATTATATGCTGACACACTCTGTGAGAAGTACTCTGCAGTTAAAATGGAAGTGCTTGCACTTGGCGGAGTAAGGGAAGATAGGGGACTGAATAGGCTGAGGGCACCGAGCTCAGGTTGGTGTGATAGCAGCATGGCTCAGCACAACGTCAGCCCCCAGGTTTCTGATGTGCTTGCCTCAATGCCTACCTGTCAAGCACCTGAAACCTGACAACTTGGATCACAGTAGTTCTCTTTTTGTTTCCCAATCAAGCCTCCCATCCCTTGACTCTCTGATGCCTCTGGCATCTATCTTTCAGTAATTTACCTGGGAGATCACTGATCTCCCTAAGGGACTCAATGGTGATATGAGATGCAACACTTTCATTTCTCTGGCCCCTTTTTCTAGGTCAGTGATTTTCACACTGAATTCTCCCAGGCCTCCCCACAAAGGCCTGGAGAGGAGACACTGCAATGTCTCCACAACACACGGTTGTGGTGAAAACTCTACCCCTGCTTCAATCAGAGAAGCTCATTTTGGCTTCTGTTGAATTTTTAGGTTCAGCATTAGTTTGTTTTCAGTGCCTAACTTCTTGCCAATAAAACCAGAAAACCGCCACTCTGAGTGATCATTCGAGGGAGGTCCTTAAAATCCACAGGCACTATCAAGGAAGTACAAGTCATGCACATACCAACATGGCTTCAGTCATCTCTAATATGCATCTTTCAAACTTTCCATCTAAAAACTAGCACTGAAAGCTAAGAATTCCTGCTTGCACTTTACCTGGTATTTTTCAGTTGGTGTGAGTCTGCATGCTGTGGGATCCCATACAGATGCCTGAATCCATGCAAGGAGAAATCCAAACCAATGGAGGTAGGACCTGTAGGGATAGCATACTGGCTGAGTTTTGCTTCTTACTGGACTAATCAATTAAAAAGAGATTTTTAAAAATTAAAAAAAAAAAGAGATTCAATACACTGTAAGTAGAGCAAGACAATTAGGGTTGAGTCCTGAGCTTGCCCTCATCAAGCGATAAATGTTGTATGCTTATACCGGTAAGATATTAAGGTATTGTGGAGGTTACAAAAATTGGTCCCATATTGTATTTTCTTCATTGTGTGTTGAGAAGCTTTACATGTCCTCATTTATATTTAATATCCCTTCGATCTTTAACATTTTTTTCTAATCTTTTATCCTCCTAATTATATATTGCATTACTGTACTTCTTTTCTTCAGGGAGCAAACCATATTGATAAATTTTTATCTTTTCCAGAAGAATGACAGGCTGTTTTCAGTTTTTGATCTAATCTTCCTCCTGTCAGCCTTCTGTGGAGGTGACAACCTTACGGGGTAACAGAAGGACCTACTCTGGCTCCTCAAAACGCTTCCCATGGGGGGGAAAAATGCTTCCCATGATTAAAGATCCTTAAACAAAGACTTTTATTTAACAGTTTTTATAGACATAGAGGGAAAGTGCAAAGAACTGAGAGATAATATTGGATCAAATTACCTCTAATGTAAAAGTAATAGGATTCATATGGTCCCTAATTCTAGGAATTTGTGGAAAGGTGATCTTACAGAGAAGTAAAGAAGATGTTATTGCATGAAGCAAGGAACCAGTAGAGACGCCTGAGGGGCTGACCCAAATCCCAACTATGTGGACAGCCACCCCTCCCCCAGAAGAATTTACTTCAGAGGACAGCACTGAAGCTACGGCTCAGGGAGAGGGCCATGTCTGATCAGAGCACACGGGAGCAAATGAAGGGTGAGGAAGAGAGAGTGGAGCACATCCTGGTCCACCAAAACTTGAGGACGATATCCATGCTCAGAGCAGCCAATGCAGAGACAGGACCATATAACCGGCCCCACTATGAGACACGACATCCCTCACTGATCCATAGCCCTACAGGGGACAACACTGGAGACACAGTGTGGGAAGTGCACCCAATCTGATCCCAGCACACCGAGGCAAAACATTAAGGGTGTGCAGCAACAGAACAGCAAGGGGAGCAGAGCAATGAAGTCCCCGGGGAATACCAAAATGACTTTGGGGCCGGGCATGGCACCTCATCATATTCAACGGGAAAACACTCTTGAAGGTCAACAAAAAGACTTTGAACTATTTACAGGCTTTTCTTTTTTTGGTCATTTTTTGGGTTGTTGTTGTTTTGTGCTGTCTTTGTTTTTGTGCACATTATTATCTCTGCAGGTCTATCTAGATAAGATAGGCGAGATAAACAAACTGGAAAAGAAAATGGGACCAATGGTTCTGGGGACATGGGAGAGGGAGAGATATGGAAAGGAAGTGGTGTTAACAAACCCAGGGTCAAGAGAACAAGTGATCCAAAATCGGTGGGGAGGAGGGTATAGGAGGCCTGGTAGGGCTTGATCAAGGGAAATGTAACAGAGGAATTACTGGAACCCAAATGAAGGCTGAGCATGATAGTGG